TTGACATGTGAGATTAACAGCGGGAAGATCTACTCTCCTGTTCCCCACCGAATTGTTATTGAATTATATACAGATGCAATTACTCAGGCCTGTGGACAACAACTGTTTCGCTCTGTTAGAGCTCATCAGCACAGCTCGGAGGACCGAAGCGCCGCTCTTCGCAATGAAATACGTTTCCGTAAAGCAAAGCATTTTTATAAAGAGCGGCAAACCCCGCCAAGAGTGCTCGAAATGCTCCAAGAGCAGTGAGCGTTGCTCAAGGCGAGCGGCAAGGGTTCGCGCTAGGTAAGAGTGCACAACCTGACGACATTGCTGACGCTAGGGAGCATAGTACTCAAGTCTGTGGACAGCAACTGTTTCGCTCTGTTAGAGCTCATCAGCACAGCTCAGAGGACCGAAGCGCAGCTCTTCGCAATGAAATACGTTTCCGCAAAGCAAAGCATTTTTATAAAGAGCTGCAAACCCCGTCAAGAGTGCTCGAAATGCCCCAAGAGCAGTGAGCGTTGCACAAGGCGAGCGGCAAGGGTTCGCGCTAAGGTAAGAGTGCTCAACCTGACGACATTGCTGACGCTAGGGAGCATAATACTCAAGTCTGTACTGATGCAATTAGACACAAATTACATTGGCGAAAGCTCATTGCTACAAATCTCCGTGGGTATATATTTTCAGGTGAACTATACCATGGATTGGCAGATGCAACAGATGATGGCCAACCACACTGGCCTGGATGAGGGAAGCTCCTCCATCCAAGGCAGCGCTGCAACGCTTCAAAGTAGCAGTTTACAAGTACCTCCTGGAGCAAACTTGTGGGACTGCTGGCGACATGTACACCACAGACTAGCATATTGCCTGATGGCCTAACTCTTTCTTATTTCTTTCTTTTTTTAATCCCCCCCCCCCCTGGTGCGCCTGGGGTGCAAGGATACGGAGACCTTTGGTCGGAGGATTCCACAACGCCCCACCTACATAGCTGAGCTAGTAGATACTATTAATCAGCCCCGACTCAAAAGTAAATTCAAAAATGATTTTTTATTAATTTATTTTAACTGTTGTTAATTCTGTCAACCCTCAACTTCTGTGTTCTAGTCATTTCTTCGTTCTCCCTGCATGCAACTTTGTTATCTTTCTTGTTCTTTTTTTGTCTCGAGCCGGCTTTGTGTTCTTGAAAAAAAACAAAAAATAATAATAAAGTCAGTCATAAGTTCTCGTTAATCGTAGCGCATACGACCTTTTCTCTTTAAAAATGATAGAAGCGATGAACAATATAAGAATGCATGGAACTAGCCTTCGTACAACGCTCTTCAGGAAGCATCGTGGTCCTGATTAACAAATTTCAAAACAGACCGTTATAAAGCATCACACGACGTAAGTTTCGCTGTATGGTTCATGACGGCTCATCAGGTGTCCAATTTGAAACTCCGGTATTGAGCCAATAATAAAAATAGAAAGGAAAAGAACATGGAAACGAGTTAAGATTAACTCTCCACCACTGTAACTAGATACTATATACAGTCAGAAAGTGCAACAACTAGGCACAAAACTGAAATCTTGTTTTGTAGTCAACTAGTCCATCACAATTACATGCATGAGGAGTAGTGTAGGAGTTTGGCTTTCGGCTTGTACAATTCGTTTTCGCCACGCTCCCCCTTCTTTACGTATCTTTGATGTTTATGACCCACTCAAGTTGGGTGGTGTGCTGCTTTGCTGCTTCGAATTGTAGTTAGACCGCTTTGTCAACTATCCTACTGGTCTTGTCATCGTCCGGTAACAATCGACCATCTTTGTTCCGTTGGGACTGTAGCTTGTGCTCGTTTTCGTTGCGCTTGCCTTCCCCTCTTTGGTCTTTCCATAACCTTGAACCTTCCAAGTTGGAAGGCTGTCGGTTAGCGCTACCGAGATGTGTTGTTGTTATGTTTATTTTAATTCGCAAACCAAACGGGCAGATCTGCACAATGAAAAGGTGGCGAATGCAGATAGAAAGCAGTAATTAATAAAATTGGGGATGGATGTAATAAGGATAGAGGTGGAGAAATACTAAGCCAGCGGATCATCAAACAAGACGTTTGGTACTCTAGGTACTAAGGGTGTGCGGGATCTTGCTGGCGCGGAACTTGCGGAGCGTGAAGATGGCACGTATATGGCTTGGCAAGGTGCTCCACAGCTGGCCCCCCCCCCCCCCCCCGGAACGCGAGTCGACCCTTGCCGAACCTGGTGCAAACTGGCTGTTGGTGCAGACCCATGGTGGAGTGCAACCTAGTTGGGCCAGCTGACAGAGGAACTAGGAGGGCTTGCAGATCGGAGCTTGCTTGCCCATTCCGAGACGTCCAGACAAGAACGATGAACTTCTGCCTGAATATCTCGGATACTCTGTAGGTGTCCAATTTCAGTAGGAGGGTTCGCGGAGGTGTGATACGAGAGTCCGAAAACCGCTCTTGCCGCCCGATTCTGCATGACTTGTAGCCGATCCAATTGGTTGGCAGTAAGAAGCGGGGAAAACGCATTGGATCCGTGCATCAGGTCAGACATGATGGTCGCTTTAAAGTAGAGAATTCGGCTCTGATGAGTCAAGCAGCCACGCAACCTCCATAGTGCTCCGATGTTGAAGCTTGGTGTCAGGACGTCGAATGTCTCAGTACTCTGCCAGTTTTTTGCCTAGTTGTTTCACTTTCTGACTATATATAGTATCTAGTTACCGTGGTGGAGAGCTACTCATAACTCGTTTCCATATGTCCTTTTCCTTTCTGCATACAAATGTTTTCATTTTTTGGTGTTGTGTTTTAATCATTTACCATGCCACCGTGATATTAAGTAGTGGGGTCAGGAGTGTTAGTCTACAACTTGAGAGATATTACATCTTGCTTTTTTTACGCAACGGTAGCTGGGTACCATCCATTGCTTTTTGCCTCCCCGGGTAATTTCCATCTAGCTGTTTCTGGCTAATACCAGTTCTATCGCACATTTCAATCGTCCTTATTGGCGGCACGCCATCGTGGAATAAAAGAATAATACTAATACCATATAAATAGCTTCTAACAGGTTCAGATGGCTGAGACCCAGAGCACGGATTTGCCCATAGCTTGAGATTTGTAGTTTTATATTTCTTTCATAAGTTTCCTGTCTCGAATAACTTATACTTTATACGCGATATGTACCGTACCCGCCTGATTAATACCCATTCCGCAGAATTTGTTCGATGTGCATCACAGGTGGGGCTCTATAATAGGGCACTAATCTCAGGCCCTTACAATTTCCCACCATCGTCGGGACTGGCCGATACCCCCCATTGTCTTCAATGGAACTCCTGTCGAGTAGCAGCCCTCCGTCAAAGTACTCGGCGTCACGTTTGACCATCAGCTAAAATTCAGCCAGCATATCCGAACTGTTGTAGTCCGAGCAACGCAGAGACTTGGAGCCTTGCGCAAGGCATTTCACTTGCTGACTATTCCTGCCCGGCTTCGAGCCTACAAAGCCTTTGTCCGGCCGGTTATGGAGTACTGTCCAATCGTCTGGATGGGGGCAGCTCCTTCCCACTTGAATCGGCTGGACTGGGTGCAGGAGCGAGCCATCAAGGCAATACAACCGCAATGCTGGCTTCCTAGCCTCATAATTCGCCGCACCATCGCTGCCCTCTGCCTCTTGTATAAAGCCCTTTGCGATAATTCTCCCGCTCTTCTCTCGAGAATGGCTTCACCCCCGACACACCAACCCAGGACCATACACCTCACCCGCCAGGCTGTACGACTGTCCACCGCGCATCCCCATCAGTTACAGAATGTTCTTCCTGCCAATTCCCAGAACAATGGGAGCCGAGCCTTTCCCCACTCCGTCATCCCAATTTGGAATCAGCTGCCTACCTCTATCATTCCCCACCCATTTCACCCAAAGAACATCAAAAGGTTCAAGACAGCAGCTTATCACCATCTCCTCAGAATGAACTGGCACTGGGCCACTCATAGCATACGCGAGTAAGAGGGTACAGTGTCCTACCCTGCTTGGACATACATGTAATCTCTCCTCACAGACAGTCTCCTCTTGAATTTAAAAGTCTAACAGCGTTCACATCAATACTCAACTTATTCACTGAGCAATACAATCTTTCCATTTACTTTCTTCTGTTTTCTTTTCAATTTAATCCTCCCTACCCAATATCCCTTAGGTGCGTCCATGGAGCTATGAAGCCGAGACCTCTGGTCGGCGGAGCTTAATGGGCCCCACCACCACACTCCATCATTCACCCCAGTGTCTGGAGATATGTGGATTTTGTTTAAAAAAACTATTCAAGAGAGGGCGCTATTCAAGGGACGGCACTATTCAAGAGAGGGCACTATTCAAGAGAGGTCACTATTCGAGAGAGGGCACAATTCAATAGAGAGCTTTTTCAATGCTGGTTAATGTAGGTCATACAGCATAAAAAAAACACAGAAAAAAAGAGCCTGAAGTTTACTATACACTATCCTGACTCACTAGGACTGGCAACAAGAACTTTGATTAGTGCGCCTTGGGCACTATTTGTTCAATTTGCATTTAGATACAGATGGGGCACTATTTAACTTAAGAGAGGGTACTACAAGAGAGGGCACTTTTCAATGCTGGTAAATGTAGGTCATCCAGCATAAAAACAAAGGCAGAAAAGAACAACAGCCAAACGTTCACTATACACTATCCCGACTCAACAGGAACGGCAACAACAACTGTCATCTTGATCCTGAAACCACCAGTACAATGGTAAGGACAAGAACAACAGCAAACGAACATCAAACGTGCACTTGCTCATGGTTACAAGCTCTCGGGGCACTATTCAAGAGAGGGCTCTCAATCGCATGAGAACGGTAAGATATTTCTCATCGTTCCTATTATTGTTCTTCACATTACATTCCCATCACATTCATTTATTTCTTTGTCCGTCACCATTTTCACAAGAATATGTTTTGACATATCAATAACACCTTCATGAAATGAGGATTTAGCTGGTTCTGTTTATTGCAATCCCAAACGCCCTATGCATCAATCATATTCTTTTTCCAATGGAGTTTGATATTTATTTAGCAACCTACATGTACTTGGAAAAACACATCTTGAAATTTAAAGAAACATGCACTAGTTTTATACGAGAAAAGTGAGAAATAATCGCGGAATAGGAATTGAGAAGAAAGGACGAGGTGAAGTGTGTGTATGCATATGGAGTAGGTCAGAGAATATTAGAAAAGAAGAAACAACATTACAAGTTACTTGATGGAAAACAATCTACATATTAAGTGCCTCCAATAACCCTGGAAAAAGGATTAACGAGATTAATGGCAAGTTTTGCTTGGGGGAAGTTGTTGAAGTGTGTGATTAGCCTACCTATAGATGAGTTGTTTGCTGCGCTGAGGACAACGTGAGTTAAAGGAATCGATTTTGAAATGAACTCTTTTGAGCAGCAAGAAAAAGAGCGACGGCCCTTAAGTCAATCCCTGAATTCCCTGGGACCACGATAGGAGAGCAACATAATCCAAAGATAGAATGAGAATAGAGGATGCGATGGAGAGTACGCTGTGGTTGGCTATAAAATAACCTGCAATCGCCACGAAAAGTGGTCATTGGCTGCCCCAGCCACGTATTTCTTGGAATAAAACTATTAAAAACTAAACACCAAACTGAGGAATTGTCAAAAAACGTATTAGGAAAATCGATGCAACGGGGTAAAAATGCAAGAATTTATACTGAGATGAATTGTGCTGAGGAAAAACAATAGGCAAAGAACACAGAGAAGCAAACCAAATTACAGAAAATGATGAAATGCACCCAATCAGTGAGTTACTGCGGGCAAACAAATTCATACTGTGGTTGCGGGGCGGATTCTACGACACCATAAGCATCACTTTTGGTAAGGGAACTCTCCGCAACATCAGCGTCTTCACAGGCTGCATTTTGTGTCTGACTCGGAACTTCAGGCTGAATCAGTTTGCTTTGTTTCTTCCGATTTGTTATTGTGACCACCACCATCGTTGCTATTACCCCGAAAAAGATCCCGCCGACAACACCGCCGATCACACTGCCAAGTGTGTATGACGTCTGGGTTTGATTTTCCGCTGTAGGTGAGAGAACACAGCACATTGTACGTTCTAACGTCTACAGACACCGTGCATGCGTTTTAAACTCAATTTTTTGGATACCTGAACAGAGTTGTTTATATTTTTTATGGCTTTCCATCACAATGTACAGCTTTGGAAGTAAAACAAATGTCATGAGAACTGAATGGAAAATCTGAACGTGCTGTATTCATATTTTTCACGCAAATTGTATGGAACTGTTGGAAACACACCTGGCCAAATGACAATGCATACACGCCTTTCTGCGGGACCTATTATTACATTATTCTATATTTCTACGGTGGCCCATGGCCAATAATGAAGATAATATAATCAAATATTATGATCGGTTTCCCCAGAATGTTGACAGATTTCTGAGAACCCTACAAAAATGGCTATGGATGGGCGCTTTCCTGATGTGTAATGTTCCGGGCTGCCTCATTGTGTTGACTGACCGCATAGTGAAGGCCCTACTAATGGGTCGGATAATGCACCTGTCTCAATGCCCTCAAAGGAAGGCATACCCTCCAGGCCTACTATGCGATACTGTCATATGCACCTTTTACAAGGTTACTTGATGGCAACAAAATCTTTTTGTTCTGCGCAATGGGGCCTCAGGCAATACTTTTGTTCGGTGCTCGCTATAGAACTACGAAAAACCAATATACATGTACATGTACGTCGGGAGGCAAGGATCTGGCACGAAGCAGATCAGACGATAACCCGCTGCATGCACGCGATCTCAACACGAACATCGTCACATCCGCATGCCATTCTTGCTGTCAGAAATCGTCCCCTCCTAGATCCTATGGCTATGCATGTATCTCAGAGTGTGGATAGTGATTCCTTGTATAGAGTCTTCAAGCTACCCTCTTTATTACTACAACGCGTGGGGCGTGCCACTGCAGCCAAGAAGTGCGCCAAACACTTGGCGCGTCGTCTTGGGTTATGGAAAGGTGGAAATCTTACTGAGCTCCTCGACGAGAGCGACACTATCCAACCTGGGTTTACGGGTAGGTCTGGTCATAGGGGATTGCTTTGATGACGATCGACCACGCCAGTTTGGTAAACGTAGGGACCAGGGCAGAGTTACAGCAGCCGTTCATATACTCAGTTTGTAACCGTTCAGCGCACACAGAAGGACAGAGTTGGTAGATTCGACACTGTTCTTAGAACAATAATGCTATTGTATAGATGAATTGCAGGTGCACATCGCGCTAACAGACCGTAGCCTAGTAAGAGTAAGCTGGCACGTAACAGCTGTTATTCAGCACTCGCATTCATGCTGTTACACAGCTATTGCGGGAAAGAGCAGTTCTTTGCCAGTGGGCGGCACTGATTGCGGGGTTGGTGATATTCTGCGTCAGAAACACCTCGCGCCTGTTGTGCCAAGTCCGGATGTGTTGTTTCCAGGACTTGATAAAGAAAAACAGCCCTGGCGGTCCGTGGATCGACTGGACAGTTTGGTTTGGACTCGGGCGCATGGCGCAGAAGTGTACTTACTGTAAGGGTGCGTCGACCGACTTATGTGCCGCTACCTCCAGCGAGATACAGGTGCCTGAGAGCTAAAGCCTCTGAGAAACTTGAAAATACAAACTAATTTTGAAAGGTGCTTGGATCGAGTTTCACCTGTTTTATCAGTATTTTACAGTTGCTGCAAAAAAACTATTCATTCTACCTACATAATAATTTTACATTATAATAAACTATTCGTTTGTTATGGCCGAACAATAATTCATTGTAACCCACACACTTCACGTACAAACTAAGACGCGGGGAGCCGTGGTTGTGGGGCAGTCGATTTGAGCGAACCCGTATTGATGTCCGGGTTTTTAATCCTTATGCTCGCTCAAATCAGTGTGCACCACGTACTACTCTGTATCATCGACACGAACGAGAGAAAAGAAGGCACTACGAAAATAGAGTGAGACAAGTGGAGTATGCCGCTTTTGTCCCGGCTGTGATGTCTGCGAGCGGAGGCATGGGCAAGGCAGCAACGGCCCTCTACAAACGAGTGGCCTCTCTGTTGGCGACGAAAAGAGGGAGCAGTACTCTCATGTGATGGCTTTAATCAGGTGCAGGATCGCTTTTTCCTTCTTGCAGTCCTGCATCATGTGCCTCCCAGGGTGCAGAAGGCTCTCTAGCCAGTCTTCCGTGGCTGTGGGTGATACCTCTGCTGCGGTGGCAGTGGTAGAGGCCCAGGTAAGGGCTTAGCGTGCACGAGCGGTATCAGTGAGTGGAATATTGACTTGAAGTTGAACTTGCTTCTGTTTACTTAAGTAGGTGTATACATTATGATGCTGTTTTTTTTTGCATGTTTTTTTCTTTTTTCTTTCTTTCTTGAACTTTGAGTTGAAATTTTTGGAACACTTGGGAAAAATATTCATTGTGTTTATTTTGCCCGTAAAAGAGGCTGTAAAGACGCGGGGAGTCCCAAGTTACAGTGTCCCACCCGCCAGTTAGGATTCACAGGAAGTGTGAGTTACGTAGTCTGAAGAAAGTGGTCAACGGTCTCTGTTCTGATGACGTCTACATCTTAGCTCAGTGGTTAGAGCATCACTGGCTTCAAGCGAAGATTCATGGTTCGAATCTTGGTGGTCCCCTTGTCTGGTGGCAGTCAATTTTGGCTTCAGACTTTTCCTGTTTGTGTCTTTCCCTTAAAGCATTGAATAGTTGATTTTCAATACTTGTTTTCATTTCAATACTACGGCTTTTGTTTCCTCCAAGATGTTTTAAAATAATAGAGTGCTACTTCTACAACTTGATTTCCTCAACTCATTTGAGATTGTACATACCGCTAGTTGTCGTGCAGGATTCACGTGTTGATCCTGTTGTTGATCCAGGTGTTGATCCGGGTGTTGAGTTGACTGAAAGATTAAAACAAACATGAGCAGTGAAACAAGAAAGAGAATGGCATAACATCAGATCTGTGGAGAAATATTCACGGTTCACAAAAGAGCCAGAGAGACTAACTGGTCCGCCAGCGGTTGTAAAGCCATTCCTAAGTCATTCAGTACACATGCACATGAATTTGCTCTGCGAACTATCGACTAAGTTACTGGCCGATCAAAGTCGCAACAAGAACCTCAGGCATCGTTCGACAACCTCAGCACAAGGTCCGGCTAAGTCGTGACGGACCACAAGTCCTCTTAAGGGTATTCTCCGCTTACAATCATTTACCCCAGCCCAAGTAAACAAGCTGCTCGCTCAGGGTAGCGCAAGCTAAGTACGGGGAGTGACGGTCTTCCGGAATTGGCCCTTAAAATGACCTCTTACACATTTGCCCTTTCCTTCAGTGACTTCTTTACGAGTCCTTGTGACCTGGGAAAGTGCCAGCTGCATTCAAGCTCTCTTATGTTTCTCCCCTTTTCAAAGTGGGGACACTGACCGTTGCCATAACGGTAGTCCCGGCGATACCTCTGGTTTCGATCGTGTCCCGCCTAGTTCACACTCGACGGGGCGGGACGGGACGCAACGTAAGAATCGACTGGAAGGGACAGGACTGTCTGACAGCGTCCAATGTGAACACCAGGATCGGGAACGCAGCGTACTAACGTACTGATCTTGAAGTGGAGGGAAAAGTTGGATCAGTTCATCTTTTCATACCCTAGACGTAGACGAGGAAGTAAGCATACAAAACGGCTGCTTTTGAGTGTGTACAGGAGACGGCGTCGTGCGCTAACTACTATCGATTCGTACCTAGACATTTTGAACTTTTCGAACGCTATCCATGATAACTCGCAGAATGGCTAACCGTTCAAGAGCGTGACAGACACACTGTATTATCACTTACTGGGGCTATATTTTGAATGGCAAAACCTTCAGGCTACGTTTTTGGTTTCCATGAAACACTGGTACTGCGAACTTGATTCCGTTTCATTTTAAAGAGAAATAATAGAAAAGAGATTAGAAGCGGTGAGGCCTCTTGCAGTTTCATACAGAATTACAGATGGAGCGGACTCGCTCCCTTCTATTTACACTGCAACGTTCGAACACATTTTCGTAGTTAAAACAACGTTTCGGTATATAGCCCTCATCAGGTTTGCAATGATGTGCACTCTACAAAGGAGCAGCAAATATACTGTGCTGTGCTGTGTTTGCGCCAAATGTGTCAGCTACAAAGGTGGCGAAAGGGATTGGTGATATATTAATATCCAGATACGATATATTCACAGTAGTGCCCAGCCAGCATTAGTGTTTACTTGCGGCCGCAAGTTGCGGATTTCAACAGATTTCAATAGAAAAGAAGTATTAAAAAAATTAGAAATTAGGTACAAATGTCACCCTGTCACTCATCGTGACTTGTGACTCGCGCAGTTTGCTGTTGAACATCACAACGACTGCAGCGTGCTGTGTCCTAAGAATCGTACAAGATTTTACCGCTCGCCTCAGCCGTCCCAACAGGCCCGTAAGTCCTGCACCGTCACCGTTGCGTCGACTGTGAACTATGCTTAAGAGAAAATTGTCAAGGACCAACTGAACAAATACCTCAACGAGAAAGGCTTGCTCCCTACCACGCAATATGCATACCGCTTCGGTCGCTCGACGGAGGATGCGCTTGTGCGAGCAGTGGACCTATGGAAGGACGCACAGATCCAGACGTGAACTACTGACAATGTCAGGATTGATATGTCGAAAGCAATCGACCAAGTCCAACATCAATGCCTCATCATAAAGCAGCATTCACTGGGTTTTTGAACTTTTCATGGTATCATCTTTGACTGTTTCATCAGCTACTTGACGGGTAGTCACCAACGGATAAAAGTTGGCAGAAAGCTGTCTGCTGGAGTGTCCAGCAGCAGATGTGTGCCACAAGGAACTGTCATCTGTCCGCTTCTGTTTGTTTTGTACATACACGCTAAAAATGAAGTCCTGCTCACCATAATCCACCAGGAGTTTGCAGACGACATCATCATTGACTTTTCACACTCAGACCCATTGTTCTCTGTTCAGACTCTCTTGGAGGGCATCACCAAGCTCGCTAAATGGCTGGAGGAAATCGAGCTCCTCCTTAGTAAGAGAAAAGCCCACTTCATGTTCGTAAAGCCACGAGCGCAGCCAAACCCACTTTGTCTCGTCCGCTGTAATAGGGATGAATCTGCTACGGTGTCCTCAGCAAGTTACCTGAGTGTTACCATCTACGACGACCTGAGCTGGCGTTCCCATATCCCGTAGATACTCTCAGAAGGCACTGAGCCGGCTGTCGCGGCATGGGGATACGCTGAGTCTTCAGGCTCGGCTGACGTGGTACCTTGCCATGATCCGTGCGAAACAACCTTTCCGCAGCTGTGTCGGCTATCTCTCTTCTTCCCTGCGTGTCCAAAGTATGTGAACGCATCTTTTATGATCACTTATACAGACATGTTTCGCCGTTTCTGAGTCCCGCACAATCTGGGTTTCGTAAAGGCGACTCCACCTCCCTTCAACTGACCCGCATCGTGCAGGAGGTGTGCCAGCATAGGGATAACAGAGCGCTTGCTGGTATTTGCTTCTTTGACTTGGCCAAGGCGCTTGATACCGTCTGGCATCGAGGACTTTTGGCCAAGCTCGAGCATGCATGCAGATTACGCAAACAACCACTCTCCTGGCTGAAATCTTATCTCTCTGGGCATTATCAGTACGTAACTGTGCTTGGCATATCCTCGGCTGCAGAGCCAGTATTGTCAGGCGTTCCTCAAGGATCAATTCTTGGTCGCCTACTATTTATAATTTACGTAAACGATTTACCTGAAGTCTGCCCTGGAACGTCTCTGTTTGCTAACGACACGATCCTTTTCACCTCATCAGCTTCTCTCACTGGCCTGAAAAACAACTTGCGTACTGGCATTCAGGAAGTTCTTTCCTGGATGTCGTCCTGGAGATTGTCCCCAAATCTATCAAAAACAAAGATCATGCTCTTCCCGCCCCAGCCAGAGTTCACAACCCTCAGCCATGCCAACTTTCCAAATCCAATTGATATAGTGTCTTCTCACAAACGCCTTGGCATTGTGATTGACTCTGCACTCTCTTGGGTACCCCAAATCGAATATATCTGTAAAAAATCAAGTAAATCCTTAGGACTTCTCCCCCCCCCCCCCCCCCCCACTGCTCCTACCTACCACTTTCTTGCAAGCTTCATTTTTATTTAGCCTGCCTTCGCCCAAAATTTGATTATGCCGATACGTCTTGGGTTAGATGATCCTCTTCCGCTGCAGCAAAGCTTGAAATACACCACAAGAAAATCCTTAAAATTCTCCTCCGTCAACCCCAGATGCTCTCATCATCCGCCCTTTATAAAATCGCTCACACAACCCCGTTATCACATGGACGCAGTGCACACCTTGCTTCTCTTGTCCATTCCATTAAGCTTGAGTTGTGCCCACCTCATCTCATGTGTTTTAATTCCCGTAGCTATGCAGAAGACGTGACTTCAGTAACGTCTGGCGCTAGCCAGCGTCCACACAGCTGTAATTTGGTGTTTGTGTGTTTGTTTGTTTGTTTGTGTCACGGCTGGAGCTATCCCGTATCTGTCCCGTATCTGTCCCGTATCTGTGACTACAAAGGCTCTACAGGATTGTACATAACAGCTGGCCACAATATTTGCGGGCTCCTGTATCTGTCCCGTACTGTACCAATATTCGTCGTATTATGTATACGACTCCCTGATGTAGAGGGAGATTTGGAAAGAAATAGGGAGAAGAGGAGGAAATTAAATAAGAATAGACGCCGAATAGGTGATAGGATGCGTCCGCATTAACATACATGTACTTTGGAAGAGAGATCCCGTCATCTCCAGAATAAGCGTGAAAGAGCGATTCAGCGCCGGTCACAGGAAACGTCGGAAGAGAGATCCCGTCGACTCCAGAACCCCCGTGATCGGCAGAGTCCGCCGGTCCCAGGCAACGTCAGGACAGACATCCCGTTGAGTCCAGAACGCCCGTGATCGGCAGAGTCTGAGCCGGTCCCAGGAAACGTCAGGACAGACATCCCGTCGAGTCCAGAACGCCCGTGATCGGCAGAGTCAGCGCTGATCCCTGTGAACGTCAGGACAGACATCCCGTCGACGCGCAGAAAAACTAAATCTGCAGCCTCTTTTGCCGTCGGACAGAATACGTAATTAGGAGACTGTAAAGTTATGTAATGTCCAAATTTCCACGTGAGCAGCAGGTCACTCGCGTTGATTTTTTGAAGTGCGAGCCAAATAACGGGAGCTGAACTTTCGCGTCGCGGACATCCGGTCGACGCGCAGAAAAACTAAATCTGCAGACTCTTTTGCCGTCGGACAGGATACGTATTTTAGGAGACTGTAAAGTTATGTAATGTGCTCCACAGGCAACCATGCATTCGGCGTCGTCATTGGCTCAACAGGTCAATGTACATGTATTTCTACAAAAAGGCCAGAAAATCAGATTACTGTATTAAAATCAACTAATTTTCGCTGGCGATTTATTTTCGCTGATTTCGCCGCTTGGTACCAACCGGCCAAAGTAAATCGCAAACCAAAGTTTGTCATATAGGCAAATGATGCATGATTGAGCAATGGATGCATGTGAGAGCAAAAATACCGATCGATTTCAAATTTGACGTGAAATTGTGCGTCACGTAGGAATAACGTGCATCTTAACCTCTCTGATAGAGAGGTTTCTATTTTTCATCGGCCAAAATTTGTTGATTTACAGTATAAGGAGATAAAAAGAAAAGAAGGAGCAAACCAAAAGTAGATGATTATTAGAGAAATAACAATCCGCAATAATTTCTGCAAATACTTTTGCCTCAGTTCTTATAACATGTACGATGAGCTAGGCAAAAAAGTATAAAGGCATAGCGTAGGGCCCTGAGCTTCCAAGCTCTCTCGTTGGTTCTCTTCTCTAAGAACTAGAAACTCAAA